GGTCCATGTTCAGGTCCATGTTCTGGTCCATGTTCAGGTCCATGTTCAGGTCCATGTTCAGGTCCATGTTCTGGTCCATGTTCAGGTCCATGTTCAGGTCCATGTTCAGGTCCATGTTCTGGTCCATGTTCAGGTCCATGTTCAGGTCCATGCTCAGGTCCAGGTCCATGTCCATGTTCAGGTCCATGTTCTGGTCCATGTTCAGGTCCATGTTCTGGTCCATGTTCAGGTCCATGCTCAGGTCCAGGTCCATGTCCATGTTCTGGTCCATGTTCAGGTCCATGTTCAGGTCCATGCTCAGGTCCAGGTCCATGTCCATGTTCAGGTCCAGGTCCAGGGTGGTGCACACAACCTAATTAAGACCAAACTGGGTATAAAACCTGAGTATTACGCAGAGATTGGTCTTTAAGTGTACCAACCAATGTGTCCATGCTAATTTAGCACATCTCTGTAAAATAAACAGTTTATTTTGACTCGTTTCGTTCCTTTTATCAATTCTAAAGTTGATATTTCGGTAAAATCGCCCTCCTCTACTCAGACCTATTTCTAATCCAACACTACGTCTAGTTTTAAAAAAAGAAAAACTGTTTCTCACAGTAACAAAACTGTCCAACACCAGAATAACCTAAATACACACAAGTCTTGTAAGTTCATGGCATTCTAATAAATATTATTATTATTATTATTATATTATTATTATTATTATAACCAGGGCTTAATTTGAGCGGGATCCTGCCAGAACACGATTCAGGAAATCTCTTATTTTGACAGGGTGCGTGCCGGTAACCGTTTGCTTGGATCCAGTAACTCTCAGGCCTAATACTAATAAAGTTATGAACAGATGTGACTGCCTTGAATGAATAAAACCTATATTAAATATGTAATCTGAAAACAATGACAAACACTCCTGATGCATGCTCAATAATTCAGGTAGAAAAATCCAAAAAAGTTCAATCTGGTCCTCTGGACATTCAAAAAAAAAACAAAGCAAAAAAATCTAGAAACGTTTCGTCTCTCATCCTGAGGACTTCCTCAGTCTGAGGTGCTGTATTCAGCTCAGTCTCTTAAATAGCACCTTCTCAGAGTGGATCAACCAGTTTGCTGCTGACAACCAGAACCAGCTGATCACATGCTCAAGAAGGACCATCAGCCTAACAATGGATCATTAGCACCTGATGGCTGTTTACTGTTCACAGAGGGCTGAGTGATACTAGCAATCACAGCATTGTAAGAGGGGGACAGTTGAACCTGGAGGCTCCACAAACACTAACTTTCAACACAACAGCCACTTCAGAGCTTCCTAATATCACATCAGAGCTGCTCCTTCAAGTTGCATTTCTGCTTCAACCCTTAAAACATCTCCGCCCCTAATGGATGGATGATGGATGGCAATTTAATTAAAAAACAGCAATATAATTAAACAGCACAACTAAACTGTAAATGAGTTTTACAGTTTGTGAGCATTAATAAAATTTTGATTCAAATACAACAAAAGAAATGTTCGATGGGTAATCACGTGACGTACATCACGTATCGAAACAACGGCACCAATTTGTCAAACCAACACCGATCAAAATGTTGAAAAAACAATTTACGTTCATTAAAAAAGGAAGTCTTCTCACTTCTTCACAAAAAATTTGATAAATGTATATATAGAAGCTGGTCATAAAATTAGAATATGATGAAAAAGTTTATTTATTTCAGTAATTCCATTGAAAAAGTGAAACTTTAATATTATATTCATTCATTACACAGACTGATATATTTAAAATGTTTATTTATTTTAATGTTGATGATTAGAACTGACAACTAATGAAAGCCCCAAATTCAGTTTCTCAGAAAATTAGAATATTACTTAAGACCAATTATAAAAAAAGGAAGGACTGTTAGAAATGTTGGCCCAATGCCATGGCCGCACTCTCGGGAGCCGCAGCTTCACAGGCTCCCGGTGCGATCCCAGCTTTTAGTTTTGAAATGGACTCAGAGCCGGACTCCACATGCTTTATACGTGTGAATTATAGCTGAACCGAACTGATGAGAATAAGAGCAGGTTTACCACAGAATACAGCAGCGATCAGCAACGATCTCACATCTACGCTGGGCAGAATGCAGATCCTAAAGTCATCTACCTGGAAGCTGCAGCAGAAGCGATCCAATGTGAAGAGGAGGCGCTGCCGGGCGGGGGTGCTAGTTCATTCATTCAACCTTTATTTCTACAGGTTAATCCCACTGAGCCTCCAGGACTCATTTACAAGAGACACCTGATTTATTTAACAAAGAGTGAAGACAACAGTGGACAACGACAACAATAGACAATCATAAAAGATGCGTACACTTTTTTTTAACAAGTTAAAATAAAATGGCAGCCAAAAGGACAATCAAAAGGAAAAGAAGCAAAAACACAGCTAGATTATAAGACAGTGTAGAAAACTAAAAACAGGAACATGTCTGCGTTGGTTTTTCCATGAACTTAACAGATGTTTGAAGCCACTTACAGAGGTCAAGGTTGAGAGCTTCAGATCTTCAGTAAGGCTAAATGCTAACGCTAAAGCTGGCATACTACCGATACCCTCTCTCTTTCTGTCGAACATCAGCTCTTTGGACAACAAGATGGATTTGCTTCATTTGAGAGTTGGTGCCTCATAGCAAATGAGGAAATGAGGGGTTCTTTGTCACACGTAATCATGGCTTAACAGCAGCATGCTGGTCTCAGCGTTCCAGCTGGATGACAGACTTTTTTTTTTCGAGCGGACCGCTGCAGCAAGCTAACGGGAAAGTCACGGGGAGGCAGAGTATGCATTTATGTGAGTAAAAGTTGGTGCACAAACTGTACTCTGACAGACATCTCATGCTCCAAGGCTTTGGAGCAGCTAACAGTGAAATGTCGACCACGTTATCTACACCGCGAGTTCACAGCGGTGTTCATAACAGTTGCTAACATAGCTCTGGATGCTAATGCTACTGATGATATGCAGGAGCTTCATGATAATTTTAGCTCTTTGCAAAATAAACACCATGAGGCTCTTTACATGGTGGCTGGTGATGTTAATCACGTAAATCTAAAGGACAGACTGCCAAGATTTTATCAGCATGTTGCTGGACCGTATTTACACGAACGTATGAGATGCATACAAAGTCGCAGCCCACCTAGGACTCTGATCATATCTCCATGTTCCTGGCCCCTGTTTACCTTCCCCCGCTGAGACGTTCCAGACTGATACATAATAAAATTAAATCTTGGATGAAGAATAGTGACCCCATACTGAAAGACTGTTTTGCATGCACAGACTGGCAGGTCTTCAGAGAAGCTGGTGAAAATGAGGGGGAACGAGACCTGGAACAATACACATCCTCAGTTCTGGGGTACAGTAGTAAATGCGTTGATGACGTCACCACCATTAGATATGTACATAGCTACCCGAACAGGAAGCCTTGGCTGAATGCAAAGGGTCACACCCTGCTGGAAGCCAGGAACACTGCCTTCAGGTCTGGAAACTCACAAGAGCTGAGAAGGACAAGGAAAGAGCTGGTTGCTGGTATTAAGAGGGCCAAAGCCACATATGCACAGAGGATTGAGGGTCAATTCATCTCACAAGACCCATGGAGCATGTGGAGGGGCATTAAGTGTATAACAAATTATAAAAGCAGAAGTGAATAATGCCCTAGAGACTCATCACTGCCTGATGCCCACAAAATATTCTATGCATGCTTTGAAGACCCGCACAGACCACCTAGCACCAGACCCGCCTCACCACCAGAAGAAGAACATCTCAGCGTGACCTCAGCTGAAATAAGGAGTACTTTCAGGAGGATTAATCCTCACAAAGCAAATGGCTCAGACAACATCCCTGGGAAGATGCAGAAAGACTGTGCTGATCAGCAATGTGATGTACTGGCCGACATCTTTAACACCTCACTTACCATGGAGACAGTTCCCACCTGCCTGAAGACTGCCACCA